TTTTTAGTAACAAACATCACTTTTTAATAAAAGTGAGATTGTAAAATGATACTAATCTTTTAAAAGTGACATTGTTTCACTTTTTTTTTTTAAAAAAGTGACAATTTTATCACTTTTTTGTGTGTGTGTAACTTTTTTAAGTGTTTGTCACTTTTTTCTGTTACTTTCCTGAATTTTTTTTCAATTTTTATTGTTTGTTACTTTTTAAAATTTCTATCATTTTTTTGAATAATAAAAATAAGTTTTGATCGATGTTCTGTCACTTTTTTAAGTATTTGTCGCCTTTTTGAGCGTGTCACTTTTTTTTAATTTTATCACTTTTTTGAGTTTATGTCACTTTTTTAAAAAAAGTAACAATTTTTACAAAAAAAATGACATTGTGTCACTTTTTCATTTTATACAGTATTTTCTAATTCCTAAAAATATTTCATATGATTTTTTAAAACATCCCTAATTTTAAGAGTATTTTTGTAACTACCCCAATTAACAACTAGGCCTTGATTACCGAGCATTTACCTCCTAATTGTTGTGCAATTATTGGTGTCCTTATCATTGCAATTAAAAACATTAAACTAAACAAAGCACCACTTGTATTGGAGTATATGGTTCAAGGCGTCAATTGGTAGAGCGCTAATTAAAGGTCATAAGGAAAGGAAAAGAACTGTTTAGAAGGCTTGGGAAACTTAAACTAAGCAAGAAATTGAAAAGTAACGTTGATGGATTTGCAATTTGGTGATTAGGTAGGTGAAACGAGTTCTTGATAAATGAAATCCGAGCTTAATTTGGTTAATTTTTCACATTAAACATCTTCGCTACAGTGTAGTAGACGGGCTTTTTTTTTAATAACCGTGGGTGTCCGGATCAATTTGCGCATATCTCGACTAATCCCATAAGACCTTAAAGTTTACGGTCGGGGTACTCATGTCAATAGCCCTAAGAAGATTCAAACTGGTGACCATTGTGAAATGTAGTAGACGGGCTTTAAGAAGATAGACATGCAAGTTGTGACAAAACATAGCAGTTGTTTTGTGTAGTTGCGTCCAATCCATACCATATAGCGTATATATTCATGAGGTAGCTCGACATGAGTTTGAAAACTTGCCAACTTCAAAATTTTTGGGTCTAGCCAAGCTTGGATATAGCTAAGGCAGAAAAGCTATGGTTAACTTTTAGTACTCGTTTGGTACATATTTTTTAATATTTATTTCTTCATAAATTCATTTTCAAAACCACATTTTGCCAATAAAATAGTTTTGTACGTGGTTTCATAATTTTTCTTTACTTTTTTAATCACACGTTCTAAAAATATATCATTTTTGAAAGTTACGCTGTTCAACCCTAATAATATCTAGAGGGGGATGAATAGGTATATTTTGCGGAATTAAAAATATTTTAAGAATTAAATAGCAACAAGTCATTTTTAAATTATTCTTTAGATGATTAAACATGCAAGTCATTTTAGTTCTAGATTTAAAAAAAGCAGTTTATATGATCAATCAATAATCAATAACAAAATCAATAAATCAAAATCAGGATGATTACGGAGAAACCCAATTGGGAAAAATTTCGGACACTTTGCCAGTCAACAATTCACTATAAACGATTTGAACAACTTACAATCTATCGGATTAGATGATCCGTACTATCTGATTACTCGACTGCACTCCCTACAGCTCTCCCTGGATCACAAGCTCCCATGCACCAATCCTTAGCTGTTGTTGCCAAAACTCTCCATGAAATTTGCTACCTTGCAGCACTCCTGACCTTGTGGAATCGTCTATTTCCCGTGGATCAACCAAGAACACCGCGTTCTTCACAGACTGAAAATCCAGTCAAACCTCCTCTATCTTCAGAACTCTGACCAGATGTAGAGGAAATACAGTTTGATATTTGGATTATAGAAAATATGTTTCTCTCACCAAAACAATCAAAGTAAATGAATGTTGAAAGAAGGAATCGAATCAATCTCTCACAGATGTAGCTCTCTCAATGTTCAACCTCTTCAATTTTCGTACAGAAGTGTTTTGGTATATATAGGTAGGTTAGAAAAATGAATGAGTCAGGAAAAAAGCCTTTAAATCGCGAAATAAAAATTTATCGGATAAACTTATCGCTCGAGCGAAAGCTTAGAGACGGTCGAGCAACAGGTTGTCGCTCGACCGAAGTAGGGGCGATAGTCTAGCAACAATATTTCTACTTTTGTAGCTCGAGCCAAACATTGGCGACAGTTTAACGAAAATCCATGCCGTTTTCTTCTTTTTGCCATTCTCGAACCTTAGACTTAATAATCCCATTTTCAACTATTTGCACATTACTCCTTAAATTTTTAAACACAGTACAATTTAGTCATTTTGTTTACAGAATTGCCAATTACAAAACATTGAAAACCTAACAATTTTTCACAAAAGTTATTATCAAACAATCTACATCAAACATCTGGTTGATCTACTGCGATCTCTAAAGCAACCCAAACTCTAGGTCTCTAGTTATAGGTCCAATCCCTAAGCAGAAAGACAATTTCGTTGTACGATAATTGTCGAGATCACCTATTATGGTCAGAAAGTCGTCTTAAGATCAATGTTTAAGAGTGTAAGTCCGGAATGTTGGTCAAGTCTCATAAGCTGAAAAAGTTCAAAACTTTTATGCTATCTAATCTGACACTCTTAAATTGCATTTTTATAAGAGTTGGTCCAGCTAACCCTCTTGCCGCTCAGCATTTAGTTTTTCAGTAAACTTAGATGGAGCTCCTGTGTTCTTATACGACATATATGTAATAATCAAGGCAAAAATAATTTGGATATCTTGGAGAGATATAATTGAAAATGTACTTCTTATCTGCCTTGAAAAATAATGTAATATGTGGTCCTACTTATACATATCAAGATGACATAGGAACCATCAAAACATTTAATTCACTTGACTAGATTCAATTATGAAACTCTATAAGACACTTGACTAGATTCACATACATGAATGAAATGTTGTGAGACACTTGACTAGAGTTACAGACACGAATGGAATGCTATGAGATACTTGACTAGATTCAAATATATAAATTATTCTAGAAAGTATGATGGCCAAATTCGATTTATTCCAACAATGCCTCCCATAAAACAAATTTGATTTTAACTCCCAAAGCTGCAACATTCCTCGATAAAATATGTTTTCAAGTGCTTTTGTAAAAATATCAGCAAGCTGTTCTTCACTTTGACAATATTCAATGTTGATTTCACCTTCATTAACAAGCACCCTTAGAAAATGAAGACAAAGACGAATATGCTTTGTTCTTCCATGTAGAATTAGATCATTTGAAACAGAGATGGTTGAACTATTATCAAAATACATTGTTGTAGGGCCTTCTTGCTTGAATTTCATGCTTTCTAGAGCACCTTTTAACCACATAATTTGACACCGGCGGAAGAAGCTGCTATGTATTCGGCCTTGGTGGTGAAAAGCTCCACTATTGGTTGCTTATTTGAACACCAAGAAATTGCGCCACTTCCTATATTGAAAGTATAGCTGGAAATGCTTCGGGAATCATCAATATTTCCTCCGAAGTCATTGTGAGTGTAACCAACAAGTCTGATGGGAACATGGGCATTATAAAAAATGCCATAATCAATGGTTCCTCAGACATATCTTAAAATTCTTTTTGCTGCCTCCCAATGATTTGACCAAGGTTTCTCCATGAGCCTCTTGATAAAACTCAGCGAGAACATAATATCTGATCTATTGGCTGTGAGATACATCAAATTTCCAATTAAATTTCGAAATATGTTTGCATTCACAAGCTTTCCTTCACCTTCCTTAACTTCAAACATGTGATACATGGAGTAGTAATGGAATTTGCATGCTCTATCTTGAATTTTTTTAAAATTCCATTTGCATAACTCTCTTGAGAAATAAAAATTCATGCCTTTGATTGATGAACTTCAATTCCCATAAAGTGTCAAGGAGCGCAACTTCAACTAGCCCCTTGACCCGGACATTGTAAATATTTTATTTCAATTGTAAAATAGATGTGATATTGAAAAAGTTTAGTATGATTCCTCGGAATTAAATATATACTCTTATCACTTAGGTTTTTGTGTAGAATGCGATTATAGAGGGTATTAGTCTTTCAAACAATCTTTCAATCTTTCTAGTGTTCGCCCACTGCACTAACAATTGTAATTTCCTACTTTCATCAACTTTCTAGTATTCGCCCCCTACACTAGCTACTGTAATTTCCTACTTTCATCTATTGTAATTTCTAGGTTTCAAGCAATCAACGATCAATTTACATTCATTGTATTTCAATTTCATGTTGCAAGCTTTTCATAAATTGTAATCAAATTTTCTTTCGTCCTGAAACGATCGAGAGAAGGCGAAAGATAGTTTAGCGAAGCAGACTACTTCCGCACGGTGTCCCTTTCTGTGTCAACGAAATGCTTCGGGAATCATCAATATTTCCTCCCTAAGTCACTGTCAGTGTAACCAACAAGTTTGATGGGAACATGGGCATCATAAAAAATGCCATAATCAATGGTTCCTTAGACATATCTTAAAATTCTTTTTGCTGCCTCCCAATGATTCGACCAAGGTTTCTCCATGAGCCTCCTGATAAAACTCAGTGAGAACATAATATCTGATCTATTGGCTATGAGATACATCAAATTTCCAATTAAAATTTAGAAATATGGTTGGATTCACAAGCTTTCCTTGACCTTCCTTAACTTCAAACATGTGATGCATGGAGTAGTAATGGAATTTGCATGCTCTATCTTGAATTTTTTTTAAAATTCCATTTGCATAACTCTCTTGAGAAATAAAAATTCA